TAGAGAGCAAAGAATTCTGCTTAATGCAATACCATAAAATTATTCTAGACTCGCAGGCACAGTAGAATAATATTGCCGTAAAATAACACTATTTTCCCGTTTTTCCGTTGTACACTCGAAATGTATGCGTATGCTCATGCCCAAAAATTTCATGAAATTTCCAGCACCTAAATTATGTTACAACACAAATTTGGGTAAAATTTTTATGTGAAAATGGTATTTTGGATATTTCTCAATTACCACACAGAGTGAAGAAGCAAATTTTCGCCACAAATTAAGCACAATACAAAATAGCGCATCAGGATTTTTCTTTAAGTTTCATATTTACCAGGGGCTGAAAAAAGTGAAGGTTTTGAAAGGTCCGAATATATAACGTTTGTTTGGCTAATAGATCATTTGGTAACAGTGGGTCCATTTTTTGATACAAAACCAAACATAAACAAGCTCATTTTTGAACGTATGTGAAACATCTACTGTTAGTACTTACTGTGACATATCCATGACTAACTGACACCACTAAACTGGTAAGAGGTTCTATGCACCTTGAGAAATTGTGAGAAATTACGAGGTTACCATCGCAATTTCATGCAAAACGCGCGAACACCGCCCACTGCCTGACGTCACTAAGCTATAAGTCAACAAACGCGCGTAAGGTATCGTAGCCAGGTGAAAGACCTATTTTCGGCAGCCTGGGATAGTTCACCTATCACTGGCAGATGACAGCTGTAGGGTTGATGAAGATGGATACTGGCTTAGTGAATATCGTGAAAATGCTGGTTGTATCATGACTCTGACATCATCAGTGACGTCAGCCGCGGCTCATTACACGTGATGCGAGCAATCAAAATGCTCTGAAAGTTCACATATATCGTTATATGGAGATGAACTGAGTATGTACAGAGGTGGCACCTAGTGTTAGCCATCGGATAAGGTTGAAAATGAAAAATCGGTAAAATTTTGCCTAAAACCTGGAGAGTAACGAGGTTGAACTTACATCTCTGTACCTATTTCGGATCAAAGATAGTTTGGGACCCCGCAATGTTTTCGCATATGTGCTACACTAGTTAGAGGCTACTCTGGCGTGCTAAACTAGGTATAGGCCCTTATTTCACCACTACAATAATAGCTACTGTCAAACAAATACAGGTTTCTGACAAATAAGCATGGATAATACACTCAATATTCTTCTTCAAACCCGAAAGGTTTGCATCAAAATTAGATGCACTATAGTAGCTATTTATGCTTCATATATAGACTATATAGTTTGACAATTTGACCCAGTCTACACCTAACACACTGGCACTATACTAGCTCTAGAACTATAGCCCTCCGCTCCGCCGCAGAATGTGCTTTATTTGGCATACCGAAGAAGTTATTAATCGCAAAAAAGTTGTCTTTGCTTACTCCCTGGAAATTGCCATAGTATGTTCTATAGCCCTGCGGCGGAGCGGAGGGCTATAGTTCTAGAGCTAGCACTATACCCAAAGAACTAACTTAGAAAAAACTTTACCTTTAGTGCCAGTATCATCATGCGCTGCGGTAAGTCACATGCATGACATTAGATGACCAGCAGAACGTTCACTGGGGTTTACCAGGGTTGACTAAAATTAATTCTAGCATTTATATGGAAGCTAAACATGTTAAAGGAGTGTGTGATATCTATGCTACTAGTACTACGCCGTGTAACAGTCGGAGAGCCTGGTCGGTTTAGGAGGGACTGTAAGTTGTAACTTGCAACGGCGCAAATCCACTTTAGGCACCTTAGGTATCACGAAGTGATGCACAGATTTCTGTGTACATATCATCAACGGATGCACAGACTCTCCGTATATCAAGAAATGATGCAAAAACCCTAACCCTAAGTCATAAAGTATAACCTTTTAAGCATGCAGCACACTTCACCATTTTCGTTGCTCGTACAGGCAATTTTCGTGGTCGCCACAAAAATGGGGTTAGCCGCTAGCTTTTCCGCCAGGTGGCGCAGCAAGCGTTGAGGTGTTACAACGATTGCGCAACGAACGAGTCAGTAGTAAAGATACAGAAATCATAGCGATATAACCAAGTTAAAATGCCTTCGTACTGTGGTGGCGCTAGGTGTGACCACACTGGATTTTCCCACGCGCTGTGGTTAGCAC